TGTTCTCTTCAGCAAAATAAATATTGTCCAAGCCTGAGCAGTTCTCAGTTGCACGGGCTGAGCTACATTTTCCAGTGAAACACATGTAGGGCAGCTTCCAGCCAAGCATCAGTTCAGCTGAACTTGCATAGGTAGAGTTTCCTGGAGTGCCATCAAATCTGAACCAGCTTACTTCGAGCTGCCTGTGGTATTTCTGCTCTGTAGTCACAGGGAATTCTTGGAGCTAGAATTATTAAGTCAGGTCCAGAAATGTTTTTATGCAGTTACTTGACCAGTGCAGAATAAATATTGCAGATATTTTTGTTTGTTTCTATGTTCTGTCAGCCTTTCTTAACAAAAAACATGAACCAAGATGAAAAATTATGCTGTAATTTATTTCACTTGTTTGGAAACCACAAAGTAGTATACATTTGTCTCTCAGCATACAGAAAATTATTGTTTCCCAAAATTCAGAGTTGTGGATTTATTTCTATTTGACTCAAATACTGATGTCATAAGGAATGTATATTTCTTTTAAGGAAGTTTATTTATTCATAAAAATGCATCTAAAGGTCTGAAAGGAACAGTAGTTGACTATTTCTGTCATCAAGAAGATCAAATGTGCCTCTCCATGTATTCTCATGCTCTTATCAATACTTCCCCAAGCTTCCTGCTGACTTTGATAAGCTATTTTCTATAGACTCTGCTACAAATTATTTTAACATTTTCTACAATCCACTCAACCTGTCTTCAGCAGAGCTTTCGCTACACACAGCTGTCTACCATGCAGATGGAAACATTTTTCTTTAATTTTACCTCTTATTACATCCATTTTATTTGATTAGATTTGCTATAATCTTCACATAAGATTCACCTAATGACAGCTATTAGCAATTTTCTGATTTATTTCATAATTCTAGTGAAATACTTGGATCTGCTGGAAGGCAGGAAGGCTCTGCAGAGGGACCTGGACAGGCTGGATCCATGGACTGAGGGTCAACAGGACCAAGTGCTGGGTGCTGCCCTTGGGTCAAAACAAGCCCAGGCAATGCCACAGTTCATGGCCAGTCTCAGGTGTACTTGGTTTGCTTGCAAAGGTGTGGTAAAAACATTTCAAAGGTCAGCAGTCCAAGCTGTTAAACAGGGCTCATTTTCCTCGTGGATTACAGGATTCATCTAGGTTTGAAGAAAGGTTGGAGGATGGGAAAAAAGGGAAAAAAGAAACAAAATAAAGAATGAGACTTGCAACTAGCTATAGAGAAAGCAGATTTTTATGATGATGAAATGTTGGGTGACATCCAAGTTAAAGACCTGACAGTTCAGGATGCTTTTATAATAATTTCTTTATCTGACTGCTGCCATATGTGAGTTTTGAAAGACTTCTGCCATCTAATTTCTCAGGCTTTGTTCATAAGCAATAACTAGTGTGTTTAATCTCTTAGAGGACTCTCTTCTTTTGTCCATGCACAGTAATTAAACGTGGCATAATTTAGAGCCTCTAGATATTGCATGTGTAGGATACTGTAGCATTCAAAGCTAAAAGCATGGCATTTTTCCTTTAGTTTAATTTGAAAATAGTAACCTTTTTTTTTTCATACTGCCCAACAAAAGAATGTGGTCTTCACAAGTGGAATTCTCCCTTTCTACCCTCTGCAAGGCCTTACAGGTGTATTTCCCCTGGACATGCACTATGTGCAGGCCTTTGAAACAAAGCATGACATCAGCCTAGCTCATCCAGAGGAACTCTGGCAGCTGTCCATGACAGTGCTGAATAAAAGCACTTCTCAGGGCTAAGACACAGCCAGGCATCCATGGGATGCACTCACCAATTACTTCCCAAATCTTCCCATTTTCTTGATTGTGCCTTGATTGGCTCAGAGATACAGCCTGTGAAACCCCTGCTCTGCAGGGACTTAGTGCTTGCACTTAGAGATTTCATATCTTCCTGACAGGAGATGGCTTCTCTCCCTTAATGTTTCCACAAAGAACTGGTGAGCTGCAGGAAATAATTCTGAGAATTTGGCATCTGGTGTGCATAAAGCTTCCTGTAAGCAGGCAGGATGAGGAGTGTATTGGGGTGCACTTCAGCTGAGAGCAGGCAAGGCAGCAGCCCTTGGCACTGCTGACATGCAGCACTGACTGGAGAAAGGATTTTCCTGACAACCACACTTTGGGTGCACTGAAGAGACAGGCGTGAAGAACGAAGAGATGTTTGCAATTCACCGTTCCTTTTGGCCTTAGCAACCAAATTTGTGTCTCAAGAGTGAAAAGTTTCTGCCTAAATTTGTGGAATCAAGTAATCCTCTGTGTTCTCTAAGCCACTAGAACTGTGAAATTCAAATGTATGTTCTTCAGCTTATTTATCTTAAATATGCTAAGAACAGCCTCTGTTCAGTGGAAAGACACATCCCACCTCCTTAGCTGCTCCTTAGCTGCCTCTTCTTCATTGAATTGCTTGAGGAAAGGCAATCTCATTCTGCCTGAAACAAGCACATAATAAACTCCCTAAATCTAACAGATGCCTATACTTTTTAACCTCATCTGGGGAGCACTTTCTGTAATCTACAATCTAAAATATTTGGCTACAGAAGAACAGCACTGCATGAAGGAGTGCTGTGCCTGGAGACACCCAGAAGCTGACTGGCCTGACTCCATCTCCTCCTGCTCTGCCTGCACCAGTGTGGTCAGCATTCCCCAGGACAGTGTGGGAGTGTGCACCTGGCCAGGGAAGAGCTACCTGCCCCTAACAGGAGGAGAACTGAACACCTCAAGCCTTCAAATGTCTTAATTCTTCCTCCTGGTGAGACACAAATGCCTTACAGCACAGAGCAAGCTTGTCTACAAGCAGTACAGAAACTTACTTCCAACACACACAGTCCCTCTGAAGAACCATTTGGGGAATTCTTTAGGCATTGTTAAAGGATACCACAAGCCCAGGTAAGATTTACACATATATAAATTGTCTTTAACAAGAGATAGTGTCTCTATGCAGGAAAACACACAACACCCTTCCAGGACTTCTGGAAATATCCAGGCCTTACCAGGATTTAAGTCAGACTTATCCATTTCTTATGTTTCATCTTCTCACAATGAAATTGCTCAATTTTAGTAAATATATGCTCATTGTCAGAGGCACAGTTGATTCAGATACAAGAGATATTTTCCAGGCATTGCTGTACATAAAACACTGTAAAATATACAAAAAGTGCAATATGTGTCTGTCAAGGTGTATGGTCTGAAACTTAGGAGGTAATTGTTTGTAATTCAACAGGATAAGAAAAAGGATTATTTGAAGTGATCATAAATTGTTGTGAACTCATTAGATGGGTACCTGTTTTATACATACAGGTTTAACTTCTGTCTTTTTGCAAGAATAGTGGGTCACATGATTTATAAAAGCATTTGTTGAAAGTGTAATAATCACTTTGGGCACTGATAAATGCTTTAAAAACCATAAAATAATTGAGACCCTCTTCGCAGTTTAATCTACCCTAGCTAGTTGTATTTACTCAGTTCACCACTGGTGGAAAAGGAAGATCTCATGGAGAAAATTGCCTGGGCTTGATGCCTCAGGTAGTGTGCAGAAAGACTGGCTCCCTCACCCTGAGCTAGTGTGCAGAAAAGTGCATGTCATCACAACCCAAATCCTCCAAATCAAGACACTGTAACATTTAGAAAATCATCCTCAGAAAAAAAATCCTGTTTCATGGGTTTTCTTTCTCCCCACCTCTGAATAAATGAGACCATTGTGGTTTTACTTGAGAGAAAAAGGCAACATTTCATATACTTTCATTTAAACATAAATAGTACTTTAAGCCTTCAACTTCTTCTGTTTGCTTTACAGCTTGAATGCAATTTCTCTTCCAAAATTACAGATTGTGCTTCTTGCACAAGCAAATGAGTTGATTCTTCATAAGATACATTGACTGTCTATATTCTACACAGGCAGAAAAAAATACTGAGTTAATTAAAAAAAAACCCCTTCAAGATGACCTCCTGACCTTATTGACACCCACTTACCTCTTCCTTTAACATGATTGAGTCAGTAAGGCCAAATTCCATTCAAAATCATCCTGAAAACAAAATTGGGTTTTTTTGTGTTTTTTTTTATGTTGGGAAAGCATTTCTGTAATTGGAAACCTGACTTCCCTGATTCTAGTATTTATTTTATATATATTGGTATGAGCACCAAAATATTTTGCAAAGGTGAAAAGCAATTTTATTATATGAGAGAGCATGTCAGAGCAGAGTTCAGCCAGGTAATATGTAGAGAAAAATCTTAGAGGTAAATTGTTGAAGATCACAGAATCACAGACTGGTTTGGCTTGGAAGGACCTTAAAACTCATCTTGTTTCAATCCCATGCCATGGGCAGGGACACCTTCCACTAGATCAGGCTGCTCAGAGCTCCAAACATTACCTGGATTGTCTTGAGAGTAGCTGACCTTCTGAATGTTTGCTTAAGTAAAAATGGATCTAAAAAAACCTGCCACACTGAGTTCTTTATCTGGAGCTGCTGCTTGAGTCATTTATTAGAGCAACCCAGTTTATAAAAGCAGATCTTCTGGAAAGTGCAAATTTTTTTTGCTCACAGATTCTTTCTTATCTTGTCTGTTATTAAAAATATTAACAGATGTTCATTAATACTGAAATACTAACACAACTATACGATATAGTATAATTAATATAGCATTGAAACCAGTAAAATAAAATCACACTATTACCAAACTGTAAGCTTTTCAAACCACCCTTTTGGTTAGATATTTCTAAAATATCCAGGTATTTCTATTGTTTAGACATTTCTAAGAAGAAAAAAAAAATACTGCATCATTACTTGTTGCATTTATAGAATTGTTACTCACACTCTGATTTGATTTCCCCCCTATACTTCTAGAGGTGTATACACTAATTCAGGAGTTTAAAAAAAAAAACAACTCATTTCCAAATTACAAGTTAATTATTCAGAAATTATTTCTGAAAAGTCAGTTTGTTTTAAGAAAGTAATCATGTATCTTTTCCCCAAAAGAACTAAAGACTTTATCACTGCATTCTTTATAACCTTTGCATGAAATGATCACTCCTCTGGATAAGTGGGGGTTTTTTACCTGTTGGGATTTAATTTTCTGTTTAAAGCAGGCTGAAACCTGTTGTTTGTGGTTACAAACAGGTCTTGCACAAGCCTTGAGCACCACCTGAAGTGGATGGCAAACATCCACGTGCTTTCCTGGCAGCCACAGCTCAGTGTGACACAAGGACAGCTCCCAGCCCTGGCTCGCCCCGCTGAGCCCCTGTGGTCTCACCACCCACTTGTTTTCCACCAGATTTGTCCTCTCAAAGGACACAGGCAATACTCAGGCAGACTTACACATTCACAGTTCTGAAATCCTGTGCCCAAGAGGTGCTGAACCTTTCTTTAGCAACTGCTGCCTATGAACTCAAAGGCTGTAACACACAGAGGCTCAAGAGTGCAGGTGAGACACAGGTAAGGGAACATGACAAGGAATTTAGCATACTGGCATCATGAAAGATGATGCTTTCCTGTGGAAAGCAATGCTGTGTCACTCCCTGGGACAGAGTTGTCAGCAGATACTTGGCCTGTGCTAAGTCCTGATCACCTCTGCTCTCTGAGGTGGCTCCCAGCCAGTTCAATATTTTCAGCAGAACCCCATGCCCTGAATGAATAGCCCTACCTAGCCTGGCAGGGTCTTTTTTCCTGAAAGGAACTTGAATTTGTCAAGGGACTTCCCTACTTCCTCTTATCCAAGAGGTTAGCAGTGTGAAAAAATAGTTCCTACATGGATTTCAGACTTGCTGAGTTGGTGAAGAGCTTGGGGTGGGTTCATAAGTGAATGAGGGTTTCTGGTTTCATGGATTCCGTGTAAGTGGCTTATAAATCTCAGAAGTCTGTTATCACGAAGGCTGTGGTTCATATGTCGCTGCTATTGAGATAATTATCCTCTCAGTAACAGCACAGGAGCAACCTGGGATAAAAGGCTCAGATGCAGCAGGCTCTGTGGTTTTGGCTGAAGAGAAAGGGGATCAGTCTGGGCTGCAAGCTCTACATACAAGTTCAGATGTGTTTCTACTCCTACAGTGCTGGGCTGAGCATTTCTGGCTTCCATTCATTATAACCTACAGCAATTAACAGATCCAGGTAGGAGCAGGGGTAACAAGACAAAGAAAGGGGGAAGAGCAAAAGAAAACTAAACACAGAGAACATCTCTAACTTCAAAATTGCATGACCTTAAGTATTCTGCTGTGCATTCACAGTTCTAACTCTAAAGAATTATTTTAGCTGAAAAAAGATCATGTAACATTCTATACATAAAGCTTTCAGTAACTTGTATGTTTAATCTTGGAAGCAAAATCAGGACTGTGCTGAAGTTCTCGAACTTGATAACTTTGAGTTATCTTTTAAGCTGGCCAATTTAACACAGTTTATAATGGGAGGCCCCAAACTTCCAGGTCCTAAGTCAGAATGCTTTGATGAAGTTAGGGAGGCAATTAAGTAAAGATTGCAGAATTCTTCTTTGCATATACTGCCTGGATGGCCACTGACCTCAAGCCAACCTACAGCAATTAACAGATCCAGGTAGGAGCAGGGGTAACAAGACAAAGAAAGGGGGAAGAGCAAAAGAAAACTAAACACAGAGAACATCTCTAACTTCAAAATTGCATGACCTTAAGTATTCTGCTGTGCATTCACAGTTCTAACTCTAAAGAATTATTTTAGCTGAAAAAAGATCATGTAACATTCTATACATAAAACTTTCAGTAACTTGTATGTTTAATCTTGGAAGCAAAATCAGGACTGTGCTGAAGTTCTCGAACTTGATAACTTTGAGTTATCTTTTAAGCTGGCCAATTTAACACAGTTTATAATGGCAGGCCCCAAACTGCCACATCCTAAGTCAGAATGCTTTGATGAAGTTAGGGAGGCAATTAAGTAAAGATTGCAGAATTCTTCTTTGTATATAAACTGCCTGGATGGCCACTGACCTCAAGCAAGCCCTCAGCAGAGCAGCAGACTGCCAAAGATGGCAATATCCCAATATGAGAATAAAATAGCATTTGATTTTTAAATTGCTTAATCTCTTCCTCAAAAAACTGCATTTTATGCACCGTCTCTTCAAGCTAGATATAACATTAATTTGCTACATACAGCTGTTATTAATCCTAATTTCTTGTTATGAGTAAAGAACACATGAGAAAAATGGGGGTACTTTGCATGTTTATAATTGGTTGAATAGAACTTCCAAAGCTTCAGAGTTACAAAGTCTGCTTCTGCAATTGTTTATGCACACAGAGAGCTTGAAGTGCTCAAGCAATGCTGGTCTCTGACAGGTTGCAGGTAGCCACACAGGGTCAGGATTGTCAGGTGTGTGTAATCCAGGACTCAGCCCTTAGACAGACACTCAAATGCATTCAATAAACTCATATTTTCTAACTTGCAAACTCATTTTCACCATTAGATATTCACACCCCATGTGGTCTTATTAGCTCACACTGCAGGCTATCCACTATTAGCTACTACTAAAATAAATAAAAGAAAAATACAGCTTCATACAAATAACTTGCATGACTTTCACATAGCAAAGGTGACTGTTATTGACTAGTTATTGACCAGTGCAAAAGGCACACCACACAACATTCAGCCAGCTAGATATTTTTAATAAGCCTAAGGCCTTTGTATTTAACCTTCTGCTGTATAGAACACACATTCTAAGGTACAAAAAATAATTCAGCCCCAAAGCCCATCCATCTTGTTGATCAATATGCGTATTTTACATCAGGACATGAAGTGCATTATTATATAAGAAAGCACAGGAATCTGTTGTCAGGGCAAAAAGCTCCCTGGAGAGACACTCCCAGGTTGGCAGGGCTTTTGTGGTCCACATCTCAGCATAGCAGAACCTCAGAGAGGGAACAGGGAAAACCAGAGCCCAGGTCCAAAAGTGCCTCCAGGGTCTGGGGCTAAGCTAAGTAAGCAGCCTGCAGATCAAAGGCCAGAGGAGCAGCAGCCTCAGCTAAAGCACACCCAAAGACTCCTTCCAAGGGGGGTCAGGGCTGAGCTTAAGCAGAGATCCCAGCCAGGGAGAGGGGGAAGGAGGCCCCAGATGAGGGTGATCAGGACCATAACACCCATGATCCCTTTGTAAGACAGAATTTTTGCGTGTCATTGAGTTGAGTGAGAGCATTCATGGTCAGACAGTGCTCCTGGTGCCCATTATAGTGATAACACTGGGTTAAGTGTTGATGAAGAAGACTTTTAGGACCAATGTATAAAGATCAGATACAAAGCCCCCTCTCCGTAAAGACTTCAGCTAGACAGAGTGGTTTCTTGTTTTACAATGTACCACGAGAACTTTAAAAACCAAAATCAATTAGCATTCTAACTGATCTTAAGCGTACTCAATCAATAGTCCCTTTAAGAAAACAAACTTTATTCCTGTGTTTTCTGATCAAGTGCTGTGATCTGCTAGGAGGTATTTGGCTATGGATGCCTAAGGAAGGAAAACAGCTGCAATTTTTGTCCATGGGTGTGTTTTGATGGAAGCCAGAGAAAGTAGAAGGTAGGGTGGGGAGCTAAGAAGAAGCAGGAATACCTTTTCACTTTGTAAAAGGCCTGGACAGGGCAGCAGCAGGTTTCCTTGGCTGTTTGTTTTTGTTTTTTTTTTAAACCAGGGTGGCTGGAACTTTATGGCTAGTGTTCAGGGCACAGCAGAGAGGCTGAACTGCTGGAGACTCTAGTGAAACTGCTGTAAGGCTGGCTGCTGGCTGGTGACACCAGTGTTCCTGTGTGCCCCCAACATGACAGTGCTGTTGGGATCCAGAAGCAATCTGCAGGGGAAGGACATCCAATCCTTAGTGAGTACAGCATGATGTGAGGGAAGTGAGACTGTTGCTCCTCCGACAGCAGAGAGAGACCTTCCTCCTGACAATGTCAGGAACAACTTGGAGGTAACAGTCTTCTGCTGCTCTTCCCTATGGGATCAATAACTGTAATGTCTGCATTTACAGGGCTAACATGTGACTGCAAACTTCATTCTCTCCAAGAAAAAGAACTGTCAGATTTAACCAGGGAAGAGGTGCTTAAGGCCTGAGATTGTATGTCCCTGTTTTCTATTGCTTTATGAAAGAACTACATATTTCACTAGCAAAATGCTACATCAGCTTCAGATTTCTCTCCTCTATCCAATTCAGCAGAAGGGCCTTCCACAGAAAACACGCATCTATATTGGTGTCATGGGAAACAAGTGTGTGACTGTGAATTGCATTGTCTTAGGTTGGAAATGCAAGATGTGGCTGGGGCTGTGTATTCTATTGCCATCTGTTAGAGGTGGGGCAGTTATCTGCTGTTAATTAGACTACCTGTTAAAACCAGGTGGGGCAGTTTTCTTTATCTCTTCCACCACCAATCCTCTCTCCAGGGGATATCTGCTGTTAATGCGCCAGTGAGTGTCACTGCATGACTGATAAAACTACATAATCCCATTGGGAGATGCTCCACCCAGGGGGAGGAGCCATGAGTTCCTACCTGGATATCATCTGAGATTTGAAACACTAGAAACAGCCTTTTCCACTGGATTCCCACAGGAGCAGCTTTCTTTTCCACTGGACTCCCAGAAGAAGACCAGGCCCATCTCTCCACCACAGGACCTTCAGAGGAAAACTCCACCCTTCTACAGGATCCCTGCTCCAACAGAACCACAGCTGGCACTGCAGGAGGGCTGCAGGCACCATCGAATGGGACTGCTGCCACCACCCTGACCCACAGGGGGTCAGGTTGTATTCTGTCTGTGTTGTTTTGTATTACTGCATTTTTATTTTATTTTTATTTTTTCCCTAATAAAGAATTGCTATTCCTCTTCCCATATCTTTGCCTGAGAGCCCCTTAACTTCAAAATAATAATAATTCAGAAGGAGGGGGTTTGCATTCTCTATTTAAAGGGAGGCTCCTGCCTTCCTTAGCAGACACCTGTCTTTTCAAACCAAGACATGCATTCAGCAGGTGTCTGGTTATTAACTTACTGGTGTCAAAAGCTGACAGGAAAGTGAAATTGGCAACATGGGCTAAATGTATGCCACTGCAGTGTTTGATAACTTTCCTATTATGCTGTAGCAAAAAGCCTGACTCTCAAATGCTGTCAACTCACATTTGAAGACCTCTGACCCTTTTGCTTCTCCCCACCACCACTTGCAAGGCCTGCCAACTTTGAAATGGGAACAGGATGCAGGATAGATGGCCAGGGATGCAGGATGGGTTTCCCAGGATGCAGGATGGATTGTCAGGGATACAGGACGGGTTTCCCAGGATGCTGGTTGATGTCAGGGATGCAGGGCGGGTTTCCCAGGATGCAGGATGGATTCTCAGGGGTACAGGATTAATTGCCAGAGATGCAGGATGGATTGTCAAGGGTACAGGATGAATTGCCAGGGATGCAGGATGGGTTTCCCAGGATGCAGAATGGATTGTCAGGGATACAGGATGGATTCTCAGGGATACAGGACGGGTTTCCCAGGATGCTGGTTGATGTCAGGGATGCAGGGCGGGTTTCCCAGGATGCAGGATGGATTCTCAGGGGTACAGGATTAATTGCCAGAGATGCAGGATGGGTTTCCCAGGATGCAGAATGGATTGTCAGGGATACAGGATGGATCCTCAGGGATAAAGGACGGGTTTCCCAGGATGCTGGCTAATGTCAGGGATGCAGGATGGATTCTCAGGGACACAGGATGGGTTTCCCAGGATGCTGGTTGATGTCAGGGATGCAGGACGGGTTTCCCAGGATGCAGGATGGATTCTCAGGGATGCAGGACGGGTTTCCCAGGATGCCGGCTGATGTCAGGGACGCAGGATGGGTTGCTCGGGATGACGGTCGGCGGCAGATCCGCCCTGTGGGCGGGTCCGGGCTGCTCCCGGCCCTGCCGGTGCCGCCCGGCGGCCGCAGCAGCAGGAAGCGGCGGAGCGCGGCCGGGCAGCGTCGGGGGCAGCGATCGCCGCGTCCCGGGGAACGTCCCGAGCGGGGAGCGGCCGGGGCAGCGGGACCGGGAAGCTCCCGGTATTCCCGTGCCGGGAGCCGCGGTGCCGCCTCCGCGGCGGCCTGACATGAGCTCAGCGGCGGCGGCAGCATGGCCTGCGCCCGGAGGGACGGGGAGGCGGACGGCGAGCCCGACCGCTCCCTGCGGCACATGCTGCGGGCGATAGCGGAGGAGCGGAGCCGCGCCGGCCTCCGGCACGACATCAGCGGCCTCGGTGAGTCGGGCGGGGCGGGCGGGAGGGCAGCGGAGCCGGGAGCTCCGAGGCTGAGGCGGCTGAGGCGGAGCCGGGAGCCCCGCGGCTGAGGCGGCCCCGCGGCTGAGGCGGCCCCGGGCCGGCCCGCCCTCAGCAGCGGCACCTGTTGTGTTGGGCACACGGGCACGGCCCCTCTGCCTCCCCCAGCCCCGCTCCATTGTCTGGAATGCCCTTGGACAAAAACGGCACCGCGCGCATCACCCCGTGTTGTATTTTTTTTTTAAGTGTAAGCGACGCGTCGTGTGTGTTTTGGGATGGGAGCGGCGGATTTTTGGTGCCTCTTGGCAGTGCTGGCTGTTGTGCGGCTCCCAGAGGCTCTCTAGAGATTGTGAGGCTGACACCTCCCTTCTCTGTTGAAATGACTTCACTCTGCTTGCCGTGGTCTAGTAAGCACAGGATGTCGCGGCTCTTGCAGGTTGGTTAATTTCTTAAACCGTGGAGGGCTTCTTAAGCTTTCTGTCTTGTTAGTTTTCATCTCGGCTGATGTAAATTTCACACGGCAGGTCTTTATTTAGCTTTTGGCAAAGCCTGTAAAGTGCAAAACAGAAGTTTCGGGTTGAAATTCGGTCAGCTTTAGGCAACAGAATGGTATGGCAGCTCATTAACCAAAATTGTTCACATCAGGAAACTCTTCTGGCCAGGCTGGTGAATAGAAATTAATCATTTTTATATGCAGCACTGGAGATCATGGAAATTGTTCTTCACATCCAAAATTTCTGTCTACCTTATTCAAAGCTTTTGTATAGCCAGGACTGGACCTGTGTTCTAAGGGGGTGAATATCCAGAAGTTCTTGCAGGTGCAGTGCTTCAAGTGATGGAAAGTGATACACAACACTTGTTTCTTCCATGGGGCCTTTATTAAAGACTCCTCCCTCCTCAGCTCGTTTATAAGGCTCCAAAAGTCTCATCCATTTTTGAGTCTTCGTTAAAAGCTCAGAATAAGTTCTTATTTAGGTTTTACAGGCTGTGAGGTTTGGATGAACATGGGGCATCTCTGATTCTCTGCCTTTATGTATCAGTTTGTCAGCCAGTGCTTGCTGTGGTCCCCCTGGGAAGGAATGGGCTCTCTGTTCTTTCCTTTTGCTTTGCCACAGAGTGAAATCTTTTATGAACAATGAGAAATGATTCTTGGTGCTTTATGCCTTTTTTCTGATAGAACTGGCTCTCTGGGATGTAATGTAGTGTTGAAATGTTACAGGGCCTAGTAAAGTAAGTAAAATGTTTTGGCAAAGAAATTGTAGATGAAATTTAAATGCCTATGAGATTGCATTCATTGGAAAGCTTCAGTCAGGTCCTGTTTGGCCAGCTCACATTGAAATGTGTGATAAAGACTGCCAGGAAGAGAAATATCACCATCACTTTCTTTTGCTGAAATTAGGAAAGGAGAAAACTGTGGTAGGTGGTAAGACCATGCAGATATTCCTTCTCTGCTTGTGTTTGAGTGCACATCCACAATAGCCCATGGTGGGAAGTCCTGCTGAGTGGCTTTGGGATAGTCACACAAGGAATAGGACAGTGGAGCTCTTTTTTGCCAGGTGAGGATTAGAAAGGTAAACCTCAGGAGAGCTGCTGAGCTCGTGGCACTGAGGAGCTGTGTGGAGATGTGCATTTTGCAGTGTCTTCCCTGGTCCTTAACATTGTCATTCCCAGCTAATGAGAGCTCTTTCCCCTGTGCTGTGATTTGTTGCCAGGTTAGTAAATTTTTCCTAAATACCTCCTTTAGGAAAAACATCTCCTCCTTTAGTAGAAACTGTAGATGAGCCCAAAGTGTGATTCTGTGCATGTCTGCTCTGTACTGGTGAGTGCTGTTGCAGGGCATGCAGGAATAGCCTGGGCTGCTCTGCAGTGTGCTGGGCTCTGGCAGCACAGCAGGTGGAAAGGATCTTCCTCAAGCTCAGAAGTCATGAATAGTCACAGTCCTGTCTGGGTTCAGGTGGATAACACAGAGATTTTGTCTGCCTTTTGTGCCTGGGTGGCACATCACCTCTGGGGCTTCAGGGCCTGCTCACCCACAGCTGGTTTTGTATTTGTGGTGGGGTTTTTTGTAGTGGCCGTGTCCTGAGCTGTATCAGCAGGTGAAACCTGTTGTTTTCAGTTCCCTTCAAACCAGCTGGCAAAGACTCCAACAGTGGCTTTTCCCTGAGTGCTGCTAGTCCCTCAACAATAAAATGGGACTCACTGGGTCATAACTTGGCCATTCTCTCTCTTTTTGTGTATTTGCTAGAAGTGAGCCCAAGGAGGAGGAAATTGCTATTTTTGCTGACTCTGAGGTTTGGTGAGAGGAATTGCTTTGTTTCAAGAATGTCACATAAGCATTTGGACAGGCTTTGTTCAGAAATGTAAATCCCCTTGAGTGGTGGGGCTTTCCATAATGTCCTGTTTGTGTAATGTACAAAATGTAGCACTTCAAAATAATGACTCATGTCATTATTCACCAAGCTGGGAAGGGTGATGTCTCTCCAAGAATTCTTGGCTGGCTGTTGGTGTCACCCAGTTGGACAGCTCTGGTGTTGTGCACTAAGGCCCCTCTGAAATGCTGTTGGTTGCAACACTTCTGTGGCAAAATACTTCTCCTCCCGAGGGAATGACAGATGTGCTGTGTGTCTCCTCAGCCATGTAAGGCTCTAAAGTTTCCTTTTGGCCAAATCCCTGAACTGGGTTGCGTTTTATTTTTGGTGGTTCCTGATACTACTGTGTAACATTTTCAGATACTTAATTTCCTTGTCCTTCTGTCATTCAGAGACAATTTGCCCTGCTTTT